GGATCATGACCTGAGCCAAAGGCAGTCACCTAACCAACTGAGCCACCCAGGCGCCCCATTGAAACCTCATTTTTAAAACTTCTACTCAAGGATGTAAGAACTTTTGGCAGTTTTCATTGGTATTACAAAGGCAGTTCTATTAAGGCAATCTGTATCAACCAAGAAAGATATAAGACCCCTCAGTGCAGCAGAGGGGTAAGAATTTTTTATTGACCCATTATACTGCCAACCAGGCTCCTAGTCCCCCTGCACTGCATTTCTGCAAGACATTAACATAATGAAAAGACTTGTTCCTGCCCTGGAGTAGCTTGCAATTTAGTAAAAGATGGGAAAACAAATACACATCACTAACTAAATCTGTGATGAGCAGATTCTAATTGACACAAATTCAGTATTAAAAGAGTTCAGGGAATGGCTAGAGAAGGCAGCCCAATGGTGCTCAGGAGAAATGGCAGAGACAGGACTTGGAAAGGTCTATTTCAACAGGAAAAGGGTGTTAGAGAAGGCACTGACTGCACACGGAGGTAACAGCTTTAGCAAAGGCACATGGGCAAGAGCACACAGGTAAATTAAGAAACGTTACGGTGATGGGAGTCTGGCTAAACGACAGGCTACTGGAGGGAAAAGTGTAAGAAACTGACCTGGAAAAGTAAGATGCAGCCAGTTCTTAACATGAAAAAAGAGGGAGGACATGTAGAAAGCTAGATTTTAGAGGAAATAACTTTTCAAATATAACCTTCACTGATAATTTGTCACATCATATCTCAGATTTTTAGAGGGAGAAATATTTTAATAGCAAGTTTATTTGCAAACCAGGTGTAGTAACTTCAAAGGAAAATAACGTGGGTGCTGAGAAAATCATTCTTCCAGGCTGGCAAATTCCTGTCTACAGCTTAACTAATAATATTCTTATTACCTACATCTTGTGATGGTTTCATTGAGATCCCTCTTTTCTCATCACCAACATACCTTCTTAATTCATCGCGTATGTACAGAGTGACGACTTAGAACTAGTATCTGCTCACTTATTTACCCATCCTCTCCTTTTCTGCCCCAACTTATCCTAACCACTCACTCCCTCATGCATTCTTCTCCCACGAGCGCTATCGATAACAACAACCTTAATAGCTCCCACGAGCTATAGTACCAGGCACGGCAATTAATGCAATAAGAACAGTGCTTAATATAATCCTTAAAATTCCACTATAAAATAGGTATGACTAGCCCCATTTTGAAGCAAGTTCAAAGACGTTAAAGATTTTACCAACTGGTAAGTGGCAGGACCCGGGTTTAAAGCAGATATGCTCACCCCAAGAGCCCTGGCCTATTTATTACCGGTTCATCATACTGCCTCCAACACTCTTTGGCGTCTTTACCGATATGGGTTAGTACTTTCAATTAAAAATTAAAGCATTCAGTGAACTGTGTGCTACTGTAAAATCCTGTCCTAGGTGCTCTCCGTGGTATACAAATAAAGGACAGAATGCTTGGGACACCTGGGTGGTTCAGTTGGTTAGGCGTCTGCCTTCGGCTCAGGTCATGATCCCAGGGTCCTGGGATCGAGTCCCGCATCAGGCTCCCTGCTCTGCGGGGAGCCTGCTTCTCCCTCTGCCTCTGCCTCTCTCTCTCTCTGTCTCTCATGAATAAATAAATAAAATCTTTAAAAAAAAAAAAAATGACAGAATGCCTGTAGATTACTGATGCTCCTCGTCACCGCTACGTGACAATGAACACCTATGTCTTCTATCAGTGTGGAAGATGGTGTGTCCATGATTCACGAAGTTGAACAACCAGGGCCAGAGGGAGTAAAAATGACTCAGGATATGAATGCTGGATTGTGACCATACCTCACAGACAGAAATCAGCCAACCCTGACTGACTGACAGAGATTTTTAATCATACATTTCAAATCAGAATCTGTAAAAACTCTCTCTGTCGATGGAAAATCTGTCCTGTCAGAAGTTCCCAACCAAATCTGCTTACAATCTATTTTCAATGAGCCTCAGCTTCCTTTGAAGTAGAATAAGCTTCTGAAGCATTTCAGCTAACAATAAGCACATTGTGACGCTAGCCCTCGTAAAATTCATTACCAACGAGTAAAGTTACTTGGTAAAACATAAATGTGGTATATCAAACTACTTGTACCCTAGAGCCTGAAAGTTGTGTAAAATTATATAGTGCTATTCAGACACAGAAGGGAAATTCAAATGTGTCATCTTTTTAAGCTACCTGCTTTTAAGATCACCATTACTAACTTCCGAATAAGTTTTTGCTAATATTTTCAGGAGGCCAGTTACATTTTTACAAATAACTAAAACTTACAAAAATATAAGAAATTGGATAGGACGCTGTTGAGCAGTCCTCTTTAGGCTATAACCATATGTACCCAGGGAACATTTGGAAGGAGTCGCAGTTTCGTATTCCGCCTGCCTACTCATCTCTCTCTACAAAGGTACAGTATTCATATCACAAGTTGCACAACTAAAACTCATCCAGAGACTGCAGTGGCAAATACTAACTGCATTTACTCTGCAATCTAAACTCCTGACACAACTCATTTTTAAGAAAATGAAAGTCAATAAGGAGAAATCACCTTAAGAGTTCAAGAGTGGCAAAATTATCAAGACATGTTTGGCTAACAAGGAGAAACACCAGGCTACATAAAATGAATGATGTTGATACTTACTGTTCAATTCGGGGTGACAAGTACAGCTTGGGATACACCTGAGTGGCTTCGGTGTCCTCAAAACTGACAGAAAGGAGGGCCACATCTTCTCCAGGGTCTTCATTTACATCCTTAAACAGGGAGTGAAAAACACAATGTCATCAGTCCCTGCTCTCATATCATCTTCCCGGGGCTGAGCTCACAGCCCACTGGCACTGAGGCTAGAGCGTTTCCGGTACCTGGATTTGAATTTAGCAGCTCTGCGCATCCTTTGCCACATGCCAATCACTTCCCTAGAGTGGTGACTTTCAAACTTTCTGACCAGAGCTGACCATGGTGAGGAGAAGACTCCCACCTATCTCATTTGTACCCCCATTCCAAGAGGGGAAAAGTGAATCTGGCGACAACCAAGAATTAGTCAAAAGCACAGTTAACAAATTGCAGTAAACATGTTGCTAATGATATATGTAATGTCTTATAATTTTTATAATGTATATATAAATGGCTTGTAATTTTCCTTTTATAGGAAGAACAGGAGATATGAACATGATTTATATCATAAGACAACAGAATCTTAAAATACCCTGTAATTTTATTATATATACCTTGATAGTATGTTGTAAGTTACTTAAATAGCAAAAATTCCCAAGAAACTTATCGCTATGAACTGTGCCACCATAAAAGCAAATGGCAGGGGGTTACGTACACATTGACTTTGCCAAACAACTGTGCATGATTCATATATGAACCACAAGACACACATATCTTAAAAGCCTGGTTATCAGAATATTATAGGACAAAAACACTGTTGATCCAAATACGTACCAAAAAAACATTGAGAGGTTAACAACCCATAATAAACTAAACTGGTAACGACAAAGCTAAACTTCCTGTAATTTATAATTTAAAAGCAAGAATAGTGATAATCGAATGTCATAACCAACTCAGGCCAACACTGATGAAGTGTCCTGAGTCAAAACTGGGATTTATAGGTTCGTGATTATTGCCAAGCACTGAATGTTTGCCAGACTTCTGAATAAAATACTGAGTTAGCATAAATTCTAGTAGCAAGATGGTTTTACTTTGTGAATACCATATTTTAGTAACCCTTAATCATTTTACTTGTGGTTGGTAGTGGCTCTAAGTCAAATATAAATTTTTTGAAAACTTAATAGGACTGCACATCTTTCACCCGTAAGGACTGGTAAGAACTGGCCTATAGTTCTGGATTGGTTCACAGGTCCTCTGGAGGGCCCACTTGCCATCCTAGGAGGGTCCCAATCTAGACTGTAAGAATCACTGACCGTGAGCACTGAGATCCTCAGATACAGGGTTCTTGCTTCTGTCTAAAACTAACCTCACCCCTTCCTTTCCTGTACCGTGGGAAGCTGGTCATCACACTCGTCCAGCTCAGCTCTGACCTCATCCTCACTCTGCCTTCTATTGTGCCTACAGGATGCACGTGTGGCAAGGATACAAAGGGGCAAGAACCAGAAGTCTCTCCCATCTTAAAAAATAAAAACTTTAAAGGGGCATCTGGGTGGCTCAGTTGGTTAAAGTCTGTCTTTGGCTCAGGTCATGATCCCAGGGTCATGGAATCAAGTCCCGCTTCAGGCTTCCTGCTCAGTGGGGAGTATGCTTCTCCCTCTCCCTCCACCTCTGCCGCTCCCCCTGCTCGTGCGCGCTCTCTCTCATAAATAAGTAAAATCTTTAAAACATAAAAAATAAAAATTCTAAAAAGAAAGAAAAGAATCATGCCAGTCTCTACACAGCATTCTCTCCCATCTCTCTCCTCTCCTTCACAGACTGCTTAAAAAAGCTGTCTGCGGGGCGCCTGGGTGGCTCAGTTGGTTGAGCGACTGCCTTCGGCTCGGGTCATGATCCTGGAGTCCCGGGATCGAGTCCCGCATCGGGCTCCCTGCTCGGCAAGGAACCTGCTTCTCCCTCTGACCCTCCCCCCTCTCATGTGCTCTCTCTCTCATTCTCTTTGTCTCAAATAAAAAAAAAAAAAAAAAAAAAATCTTAAAAAAAGCTGTCTGCACTTCCAGTCTCTACTCCCTTCCCTCCCATTATCCCTTAGCACAGGAGATGGCCTTCTGACCCCACTAGGCCATCGGGACTGCCCTCACCAAGGCATCCACAAAACACAGCAAATGCCTCTCTGGACTTATCTTACTTGGTCTCTGAACAGTATTTGACATGGATGATCTCTTTCCTCTGGAAATACTCTCAGTTTCTTGCTCCTAGGAAACTACACTCTCCGATCTTCTGTCTCTCGGACCACTTCCCTCCTCCCTTTTCATGCTTCGTGTTTTTTATCCTTTTATTTGTCAATTATTTTTTGGTTTTACATGACAAAATTCAGGCTTGTTGTAACAAGTCAAGCCGTACAGAAGCTTCTAAGAAAAAGCTCTTCCGCCCTCCACTTTTAAAGGTAACCAGTATTAAACTGTGTATGGAGCTTCAAACAGCTTTCTCTATGCTCATAAGCACATATACACATACACACACTTGCATATAAATAGCTCTTTAACCTTCTGTTTTGTTTTCCTTAATGGAATTGTATTATACATATCAATCTACCAACTGCTTCCTAAATAGCCACATAATATTCCATGGCATGGATTTTTTTTTTTTTTTAACCATTCCCCTAGCAACATTCGGGTTGTTTGTAGTTCTTAGCCATTTGATAGTATTACACTAAATATGCTCATAAAAAGGATATATATGTATTATACTTCCAAATTGGTAACGAAAACTGAGCTTGTTAAATCAAAGGTTATGAACATTTTACATTTTAATAGTTTGAGATTATTTTTCTAAAATTTTACAGCACTTTACATTTGGACTCCTGAACTTGCATCAGTAGGAGAGAGCACCTGTTTCTGCTCATCCTGAATAACCTGATAACACCAGCTGTGGTCATTCTGCAGTTTAATGTTGGCGGTCTGACTGCTGGAAAATGGGGCCTCAGTTGAGATTCAATGACTAAAGCTGAGCAACTTTTTACTTGCTTACTGGCCATCTGTTCTGTCACTTCTCTGATCAAATCCTTTGCCCTAAAGCCTCTTGGACTTTCCTTGTTGTTGCTGTTTACTGGGCTTATTAACCCTGGTCTATCACATGTGTTATAAATATTTTCTCTCAGTCCAGCTTTTGGCTTTTTACTTTGTTTGGGGACTCTTCTGACAGCACAGAAAATTTAGATTTCTATAAACTTAAATCTGGTCAATAACTCTGAGGTTATTTACTTCCCTAGCATTTCATCTAACATTTTATTTTTACATGGAGATTTGTAATGCCACTGGAATGTGTTTTAGATAGTATGATTTAGGGAGTATATAAGAGGAGGACCTTAGTACAGTGCCTGGAACACAGAAACCACTCCATGTTTGCTGAATGAATACAACAGTAAACAAATTAATGCTAATTTCTAACCTTTATTCTCCACACCTAGTGCTTTTCAGGAACTGGCTTTACAAAAGTTGCTTCAGCAGTGTTATCTGGAAACAGTACTGACTCCTTGCTCCTGCCCCCATAATACACCAACGTCCCTAGAACCATTGGTTTCAAAAGGAGAGTAAAGATTGGGAATCTGAGTTCAGTTATCATTTCTTGCTCTTTGACAGATGATTAAGTATTCAACGTTGAATGCTCCTTTCTGTAAAATGAGGATGGAAATTTTAAAAATTACTTAGGTCTCAACAAATAGAAACTATGTAATTCTATTTTTTTTTTTTTAATTTATTTATTTGACAGAGACAGCGACAGAGGGAACACAAGCAGGGGGCGTGGGAGAGGGAGAAGCAGGCTCCTCGCTGAGCAGGGAGGGGGCTTGATGTGGGGCTCGACCCCAGGACCCTGGGATCATGACCTGAGCCAAAGGCAGTCGCTTAACAACTGAGCCACCCAGGCGCCCCGAAACTATGTAATTCTATAACACAACTCTAAAACTCATAAAATATCTAAAACTAAGGTGGAAGCTGAGTTTGAAAATATTCACATTCAGAGAGACAAATTCATTTGATGATCTAAGTATAGAAGTAGTCCTCTTTAGTGTTAGATTGGTCATCTTAAAGTAAAATAATGAAAAAAGAACCAACATTGATTTTCAGACACCTTCCCCCAGTGATTGAGTTTCCTTGTTAAAGGTCAAGGTGCTGACCACAAGTCACAAAACCTGGTTAAAAACAAAAACAAGGGGCACCTGGGTGGCTCAGTCAGTTAAGTGGCTGCCTTCGGCTCAGGTCATGATCCCAGGGTCTGGGATCAAGCCCCGCATCGGGCTCCCTGCTCGGCAGAGAGCCTGCTTCTCCCTCTCCCTCTGTCTGCCGCTCTGCCTGCTTGTGCTCTCTCTCTCTCTGTTAAATAAATAAATAAAAATCTTTAAAAAAAAAAACACTGCAAAAAACGAGAGGCCACTGGAAACCTTTTTAATTAGCAGCTTCACTCCATATACCTGGATAATTTATAATTATTTCCTTTTCCTACTTTTTAACTTCTCATTTCACTGCTATTTAAGCAAAGAACAGAAATGCTCAGAGACAGTCCTCCAAACAAATGGAATGACCCTGGTTTATATAATCAACATTTATCATCTGGCATCCTGCAAAAAGTACATGAAATATTAGTCTGAATAGGAAAACAGTTGTTTCCAGGAGTTCCTTTTATGAACTACTTTTAATATAATTTACTTGCCTTGGTGTGACACATGAGTTTCCCCTGAATTGGTATTTGATTTCTAATGGATACCTAAGTTTGACTCTGAGTGCTTAAATAAGCCCAAAGAGTTCCAAAAATACAAATCTACACAGTACTGTTTCCAGTTTCTGCAACTCTAACAGGCTTGTACATGTGTTCCTTCCCATCTGGGAGAATTATAAAAGAAGCTCTTGTACTGTGGTTCTTAGAAGCTAACATTACAGATGATTATTGTAACCACTAATGGCAACATTTGGAAAGCAGGGGGAGGTTATAGTGTAGTAGGGGACACTTAAAAATGCACAAGTATAGGTGCGCCTGGGTGGCTCAGTTGTTAAGCGTCTGCCTTCGGCTCAGGTCATGATCCAGGGTCCTGGGATCGAGCCCCGCATCGGGCTCCCTGCTACGCGGGAGGCCTGCTTCTCCCTCT